GATGGCATCCTCCTCCTTTTCCTTCAGGGTCCCAGGCTGTGCCTCCCTCTCTCCCCCTCTCTCTCACAGGGAGACATTTCCTTGTGAACTCATGTCCTCATTCTCCTCCTCACTCACGCTCTCCTTCATGTCTCTTCATTTGATTCCACTTTCCCTCCTTTCTCATCATCTCAATATGGACCTGAAGTGCAACTGTAAACACACATTCTCTTTATGGAGCATAAATGTTGGCATTTTACGTTCGGCTCTTTAGTTTACAAAAATTAAAACACAAAGGCCAAGCCTTCTGAATTGAGGTTTTATTTTTATCAACAGCTCAGTGACTTTCTATGAAAAATAACATGCTGCAATTTCACCTTTAAGAAAACAATACTCATGTGGGCGGGCTAGTTAAACACAAAGATCCAGCAAATGGAATGATATTGGACAGAAAGAGGGTGAGATTTTAGAGCAGCAAATGCACAGGAATGAAATCACAGGCATCTATTAACCCATGGCTCTAGAACTGTTTACATTTAAATAAGAATAAAGGTTATTTTACCAATAACTTATAACCAGCACAGTAGAGACTGTGATGTATTTCTCAGATCTCACTTAGGGGGTACCCATTGCCCGGACCACCAGTCCTATGAACACCAGCCACTGCCCACGTGCGCGCCCTGCACGGCTGGGACCCAGCACAGCCTGGCCCCACTCCAGGCCTCAAGGGAAGGAGAAAGGACAATCATATTGTCTGCTCAGCGCTTCCCCCTCCACCAGCCACATCTCTGCTCACTTCCAAATATGAGTCTGAGATTTTACAGAAAATGAAGACAAAGTTGAGGCCTAAAGTATTAGAGCCTCCACAGCATGACCTGGGATTGGTGAGGAATCGGAGTAGCTCTCTCCCATATGGATCTACCTGTTACACTGAGTAACTGAACAGCAATAGCGAGTCCACTGTGCTTATCTGCTGGGTCGTGGCAAGAGGCCCACACACCTTCCAGGTTTAGTGATGCTCGATGCTGCGTACGTGCAATGAGGTAGCAGTTGCATGTTAGCTGATGTCATCCACACACCGACCAGCTAACAATACACTGCCAGCCCATCACACACAGGCCAGCGCGCGGCGGCGGCAGCCAGGGGAATGTACCCGAAGCAGGTGGCAGGGCCGTCACAGCTGCTGAGTGGGCCCCACGCAGCCCTCGCCAGGCACCGCCCGCCTGCCTCGGTCCCGCTGCTTTTCATGGCCGTGAGGTCACTGAGGCTGAATGTCGTGTGGAACATGGGCAGAACTTTAATCCTAACAGTCACACTGAAGAAAGCATAGAAAACGTATTCCTCCACAACTGTTGTAAGAAACAAACCAATTTCATTTAATCTAATCAAAACTTATAAAGCTTTCAAAATGCCTGCACTGTAGGTCTTCCAAATTAAAAGCCTGGATATGGGAATAGGTCACTGGAGTACAAATGAATTTAAAAAGTTATACTTGCCGAGACCGGTTTGGCTCAGTGGATAGGTCGGCCTGCACTGAAAGGTCCCAGGTTCGATTCCGGTCAAGGGCATGTACCTGGGTTGTGGGCACATCCCCAGTGGGAGATGTGCAGGAGGCACTGATTGATGTTTCTCTCTCATCGATGTTTCTAACTCTCTATCCCTCTTTT